ATTTTAATTTTCTCTATCTAGACTTTATTTGCTAAAGCTACTGTGTGCAAACATCAACAGAACATGTTAGAAACAAACAATGTAATCTAAGTGCCATTCTAAATTAAAGCAATGAGAAAGAAACTCAATTCATGAACTAAAAATAAATCGGAATCGAACCTGTGAGAGAGATCGAACTCACCCATTTTGTAGGGAGTGAGGAGTGGAATTGTATTGAAGCAGTTATTATTGTAACTTCCAGTTCCCATCCCTTTGATGCTTGAACAAATTCTGACTCTCTGTATTTGATTTGGAGTGAATGAAAAGACAGGAATCATGAATTGACTCCGTGTGCCCACCAACCTCAACTTACATAAAAAAGTTCTTGCTGGGATGTTTCTCCAATCACACAAAGTTCTTGGTGGAATTCAAGAATTTTTATGTAAGATCATCGGTAACATATATTAAACAATTTTAATTCATTTATTTATAATATAAATGGTTTATGAATACTTTTTAAAATGCTTTTAGATTTACCAAATATGGCATCAATGATGGAAAAAGAAAAATTAAGGATATTCATGTACATATTTACTGAAAAATATAAAGAGGGTTATTTATGGCAATAAATTTATAATCTCTTTCCAAATAAAATTCAATAAATTTATGCCTTCTTGTATATACTTGCCTAAATAGAGACAGCTATATACATACAAATTTATAGTGCGGGCTATTTATTTTCTTTCCAATGTTTTTAGTATTGTTTGTGTTCATATTGGCTAATTCTAATAATTTTCTATCTTCAAATTTCCTATTTCATACGTTTTTATTTCTCGTTTTGAGTAATGCATATTTGAATTATCTGGTCTAGAGAAATAATGATATTTATATTTATTTAATTTTTTTTTATAGTGATCAACACATATATTCGTTTTGAGTAATGCATATTTGAATTATCTAGTCTAGAGAAATAATGATATTTATATTTATTTAATTTTTTTTTATAGTGATCAACACATATATTCGTGCGTGCGTGCGTGCGTGCATTCATTCAATTAATTTATTAAGATATACAATTTCATAGATAGGAAACTCATTATTTCTCTAGATTCATTAATTAACGATATATTTTATTTACATGATAGATTGATGAATTTAACAAGCCACGTCTGTTGGGAACAACATGCATGAAATTACAATCTACTCCACCACTTTCAATATGGAAGAGAAATAGTTAATAATACGTTGTTTTAACTAAGGATGTTCCTCGATACTCAAATAGATAGATATTAGATAGATGATTATTGAATAACATGCAATATGTCTCAAGGGTATAAACAACATTTGTTTCGGTCTTATGCAAACGAGACTTGGATAATGTAAATTTAGTGCCACGTATGATGCCAATACAAATATTGTATCTATTAATTCAATCAATGACTAAGACGTAGACAAAAAAAAAATCCATTTTACCATTGCTACAACGGTTGGTAAAATTTATCAATGGAATTTATCCATCGATACAGAAGCCATTAAAATTGTTTCAACAAATTCACTTTTCGTTCTCACAATGTCATCGGTAAATGGTGACACTCTTGCCATATTTTTTAAAATTTTGTACTCTTGACTATAAAATCCAACTTAGGCTACTTATTTCCATCATATTTTTTATATTTTTAGAAGAATCTCAGTTTTCTTTTTATATAACCAAAATGTCCTTAAGAGTGCTTAAAATGCTGTATGTGTTTTCTACTCTTTGGATTCTTTCATCCATCTTTTTATCATGGTTGGGGATGCTCGTACAAAGACTACAACAAATATTATTTTTTGTCTCAAGTATCGACGTATCTTAAAATACGAAGTAAGCTTGACATTCGAAGTAATGAATTGCATTCTCATTAATGAATTTCGATCCCTTTTTGAGTATTTTATTTTACACATTATATCACTTAAAAGATTTCTATACGAATACTTTGGCCACAATATTTCAATTGATTAAAGATTATATGAATCTCAATTATTGACTAATATTAAATCAATTATATGAAAATGATTAGGAATATTCAATTAAAAGATAATGTTTTCCTCCTAATGCATGAATAATGAAGCTCAATTATTGACTAATATTAAATCAATTATATGAAAATGACTAGAAATATTCAATTAAAAGATAATACCTTCCGCTAGATGAGAATGCACAGCTCATGCCAAGCATGACATCTTGTTATTTAATTATTAAAATGTAAGAATATCCAATGTATATTCGAATATTTATTAAAAATATATTAGAAGAGAAGACAAGATGAGATTCAAGAACATGACATAACAAT